TGCATTTCTGTAGTTCACACACTTTTTTAATCTGTGTCTTCTCTAAATTCTACTTTTAATAAAGAAATCCGCAAAATAGGAATTCATGATTCTACAAATCTGTAAAGGCCATACCTTGATGAATGCATTTTTAATTTAATACTAAGGAAAAAATTAACAGGAATAATAAAAAGACATCCCTCTCCAACTCTCCAGTCCAAAAGCTTCCAATTCCTAAAATATCATTGCCTAAATTGTAGCTTTTAAATAGACAGTAGTATGTCTTAAAAAAAAAATTAACATCTACAAGACTACAATGAACTGTTAATGTGACCTACAATTCCAAGTGTACATGGAATGTTCTCACACCTTTAGAAAAAATGTGGTAACATAACGTTAACACAAGAGAAAAATGACTGGGTACTTGGAAAGAAATTAGTTAAACCATTCCAAAAGCCTAATCTATTATTCTCTACTAATTTAAAAATTGCAACAGCTGTTTTTAACGACATCAGTGCTTTATATCCTGGCTCTTCACGTACCACAGGAGAATTCCATTAAGAATTACAGGAGACAAACTCAGGGGAAAAAAGAACAATCAGAGAAACCAATCCATTCCTTGTGCCTATTCCAGATCTGTCAGTTCTGCTAATTTTCCTCCCAACTCCATGCTCCAGTCCTCTGCTCTCCTATTCTGAGTGGCAGCCTCTAACCTTTCATTCTTTAATTACTGTAACACTCGATTTTGTATACATCTTTACCTTCTTGCCCAAAACCCAAGTTAAAAACCATGTTAGAAGAGAAAGAGAAAGACATTACCATCTGAAACACATCTGAGCCTTCATCAAAATCCACCATAGCAAAAAAAATCTTGTTGGTAAATGCACTGGAATATCTCCAGGAGTTTGCCAGAATCTGGTATTCCTCATCAGCTTGCCTGGAAAACACAGCGAGAGAGATGCTGTATCATGGGTTTGTCCAGAACACAGGTTATAAAGCTGAGGGAGCTGTGCCTACCCACTCTATCAATAGGTGTATTTCCCCCCCCAGGTTTCTACTGTTAAAAAGGAAGTTTTACTTTCAGGATTTAAGAAAAAGTTTTAGCTCAAACACTCATCTACAGTCAGGTGAAGCATTTGGCACTGCTGCTTTTTCAAATGCAAGGGCAAGATCTGTGGAGTCTGTGAGCACAGGCAGAGGGAATTTCTAATTGAAATGTGAAATGAAACCCAGCTGTTCCTGATTTGTTTGTCCACAGAGCACCAAAACACGGCGGGGTGTGCCCTCCTTTCCATGTCAGAGGATGGCAAACCAGTAATTTCAACTGACAAGGTATAAAAATCACCCTTACAGACCTCTGCCACCTCCAGATTAATACAGGAAAGCCATAATATGGTTAAGGATCCAGGAAATTATAACTGTAAATAAATAAGTGCCAAACAACTTTTAGGCTGTATGGCCAGCAGTAATTCTACAAACATTTCTTCAGCAGCTCGTGCCAGGAAAGCTGAGCTTTCACCCTTTCTCCAGCAGTTATCAGTGTAAATACTGTTTCTGCAATGCAGGGATTATATTTTGGGAGGGAGATAAAACTAAGGATTATGTTGTTTTCTTACATACACATTACACATATATTCCCACACATTAAATTTCAAAGACAATCCTATTATAACCTGCCATTTATATTCCTCCTACACATGTGAAAGTTCAACCCTATTCTTAAATTTCATTTCCTACAAAGCATCTGATGACTTTCAAGTTCTAATTTACGACCAAATGGAGCCCATACTTGCACACAACACACTGTCTGTGAGGCTGAAGAGCAGTGAACATCACAATCACCGAGTAATTCCTGGGTGGTGCCTTCACAAGGCGCCGAAATTTGTCTCCATTCATTCGGATAACGGATCTTTTACTGGCCCACTCCATCAGCTGGTTCACTTTTTCTGATAACACCATCTGAAAACAAAGTCAGAGGAACATCATTGTTTCTTTTTTCCAGTCTCACAGCACAACCTTGAAGGTTTTTAGATTTGGTGTAACAAATATGTGCACTGTATTTCCTAACAACACAGGCCAGACGATGTGATACTTCACTCTGGAAGGCAATCACAGATGCTTTTGGCACTCGTGTCAGTATTTGTGATCTCAACCACTTGGTAATGCACACAGAGCTAAGCACTCAGTGTGACACATGCTGGTGAAGTCCCTCAGCTCACTAGTCCTCCCTTGTGCTGCTAACTGCAAGATTTCTTTCAGCTGTACAAACTGCCCCAATCCCTCCGCTGCATTTATTCAAAACCAAGCATCAAACTGTTTCAGATTCCAAAACTTGTCGCAGTGGAATCAACACCAGAGATAGAAGCTCTACAGTAGTAAGCTCAACATCTCATTTTCAGCACTGCTGGAAAAAAAATTTGATTCAGAACATATCTGAGGAACTCAGGAGCACTCAACACTAAAACATTCCTTAAAAAGGAGCCAACCAATTCTATAACATTATACAAAGATGTATTAGACTGACAGACTCCCAAATGTTACATTTACCATAAAGCACTCCTCTACTCTTTATTAAAACCCTTCTTGAGATAAATACTTCAGTGGAAAAAATCACAGAATATCCTCATTTGGAGAGACCCAGTAGGACCATCAAAGGGCAACTCCTGGCCCTGCACAGGGCAACCCCAAGAATCCCACCATGATAATAATAATAAAAATAATAAACTACCCTTCTTTGACTTACAACTTATACAAGACTAAATAGATATATATATATATATATATATATAAAACTGACACAAGTATAAACACTTATACAGAGGGATCTTTCCAAACCCTAGGAGTCAAAAGTGTGGAAATAAGTTGCACCTTCGTGATTACAACCAAAGACCACCCATCCTCTCCGCCCCAAATCCCGTGCAGGAGGAAGACAACACTCGAACAGTGCTCCTAACGAGAACCGAAGAACCTGGAATTAAAGACACTCGGTCGCAGCCGCGCCCGCGGGTTCCCCTCAGAGCCGGCCGCGCCTGAGGGCGGGGAGCCGCTGTAAGGCCGGGCCGGGCCGCCCCGCCGGGCCCTGCCCCGAGCCCCCCTGGCCCGGCGGGAACCCGCCCCAGCAGCTGCCCACGGGGCTCCCAGCGAGGTCTCACCTCCTTCCGCCTCTGGCCCGCGGCCCCGGGCCCGCGGCAGCCCAAGAGCAGCAGCGCGGCGATAGCCAGCACCGGCAGCGGCACCGGCAGTGCCGCCATGGCCGCCCCGCTCCGCCCCGCCCCGCCGGCAGCACCGCCCCGCCCGCGCCGCGCCCACTGGCCGAGCCGCCGGCACGCGCCCGGCACCGGCCTCCCATTGGCTGAGCCTGCGGGAGCGCGGCGAGCTGGAGCCGCGCCATTGGCGGAGCCCTGAGGGGAGGGCGCGCGCGCCCTGAGGGAGGGGAGCGATGGCGGCACCGCCCCCGAGCCCGCCCTGCCCAGCGCCCCTCAGCCGGCACGGCGCGGCCGGGGCTGCAGGGCAACGCTGCACAGCGTCCGGTCCAACACCCCGCCAGCGTGTTCCGAACGGGTGACAGACACAGTGTTGTCCACAAAAATCGGATTCGTTACCCAGTCTGCAACAAGCCAGTAATGACACACTCGGGACAGACACTGGTTATCTGTTCCAGAGTTGTGCAAGCCTGGGTACCAGCTGGTATCAAGCACCCCAGCTATCAAAACTTTTTACTATTTACACATTTTAGCAAAGAAATGAATCAGTGTTCAGAGGCTACAAGTTACATAGTCTCTTATTAATTAATATTAGTTAATTATTCTCTCACTTCTCATGCTAATTAGTCCACATGCTCGGTTTTTCTCTTCTTTTGGGTTGGTGGGTTTCTTAGCTCGGTGGTCTGTGAGTCGGTGGCCAGGATCTGTCCCTGCCGCAATCACCCAGTCAGAGCTGATGCAGCACAGTTGCTGAGTTGGGTTTATTAGTTTCTTCCTTTTCTTGGGAATTCCACCAGATGTCCTTGTGGCCTTGTGTAAATCCTGTATTCTTTGTTCCCACTATCCATGGTATGTCCTTCTTCCGAAGCTTGCTAACTTCCCCACAGGTCTGAGGTCATTGAAGCATGTCCAGCCCTAGACTTTAACCATGCAATTCTGTCAACAAGTAATTTTATAACACCTGGACATCACTTACAGGTTGTTGGCTACTCCCTGTTTCACGGATTAAATCTCCCTTCTTGTTGATTAGGCTAGAAAATATCCAAAGATCAAACATCAAAGAACATCCTTGCTTCAGAAATTTTACATATTCCACATTTAACAACATCAGGAACTGTCCAGGTGGGTTTTGAATGTGTCCAGGAGGGGAGACACGGGCAGCCTGTTCCAGTGCTCTGCCACTGTCAGTGTAAAGTTCTTCCTCACGTTGAGGTGGAACTTCTTGTGTTTTAGTTTATGGCCATTGCTCCTCGTCCTGTTGCTGGGCACCGCCAAAAGGAGTCCAGTACCATCCTCTTGGCACCCATCATTAATTATACAGATTAATGAAATCCCCTCTTAGTCTTCTCTTCTCTGGACTAACCAGGCCCAGCTCCTGCAGTCTCTCCTCGTCAGGGAGATGCTCCAGTCCCTCATCATCTTTGTGGCCTCTGCTGGACCATTGCCAGCAGCTCCTGTACTGAGGAGCTCCCTCACGACGAGGGCACAGCCCAGCTTGCCTCAGCAGCCCCCGTCGCTCTTTAAATACACAAACTGCTGCTCAGGCTGCCCAGGGCCCCAGCACTGGGGTGAGGGGCTGGATTGCACATCAGTAACTCCAAAAAAACCCCCAAGACCAGAAAAGAAATGTTGAATAAAACTCCACGGAGCTTAATTAGTAGCTCCCCAAAAGAGATGCACTTGCTTAAGCTTATATATGCACGTATTTGCTGGGTTGTGTGTGACAAATATTGTTAAAATTGTAACCGCTCTGGGGTATTCCTCAGCTGGTGTGTGGTAGGTTATAGCTCTGAAACAAAATCGCCAGAGACACGGCGATTTACTCATGCTTTGGCTTTTATTTGTCTATTCGAGCACATTCTGAAAATTATTTCTGCTTTCTGTTCGCACTAAAATCCTTGGCTCTAGCAGCTCGGCACTTCCATGCGTTTAAATTCACACCTTAAAAACAGGAAACAAAAAGTGGTGTCAGAAGTGGGATTCGAACCCACGCCTCCATACGGAGACCAGAACACCCAAACCCGCGGCGGGAAGGCGCGGAACGCCTTGAGTCTGGCGCCTTAGACCACTCGGCCATCCTGACACTGCGATTACTACCTTGACCGGGAGTGCCTTACCACGCTTCTCAGGGCCGCGCCCGCTCCTACATCCTCCGGCCTCTCGCGGAGAGCCCGTCCGTGCCGGGGAGGTGCCGGAGAGTCTCCGGGTAACCGCGCTCTTGGTCGCGGCCGCGGAGCTTCGGCCGCCGCGAGGAGGAGCTCGGCGTTACCCACAGGCCCCCGCCCGCCGCCACTTCCGCCGCGACCATTTTGTTCTTCAGCGCCGTGAAGGGTACGCGCTCCGCTCGCACCATGTTCCCCGTGGCCAGGGCCGCGCTGAACCTCGCCGGTAAGGACAGTTCGGCCCCGGGGGTGCGGGGGGTCCCGCAGGGGGTCTGCTCCGGGTCTGTGCCCTTCCCCGTCAGGGCTGTCCTTCACAGCCCCGGCTCGCTGCGCTCCCGGGAGGGTCGTGAGGGCACCTCAGGGGCTCTGGCGTCCTTCGCCTCCTGCTTTTTTCTTTTTTCTTTCTGACTCTAGTTGGATTCCCTTCCTCGGCGGTTTTTTTTTCTTGTAACTGGAGGCACATCTGGATCTTGTAACCTGAGGTGACAAAGCATAGTCAATACGCATCCCTTAAACTCAAGGTTAAAGTTACCTCTTCAGTGATGCAGATTCCCCAGTGCTTAATCTGGCCCTCTAAAATCTGGTCCTGGTTCATGATGTGCTTAGCCCTAGGTGTTTGCACTTAAAGTAAACGTGTCTCGGTAGATATTCAGGCTTTTTTACGTTTTAAAAAACCCTAGTGCAGCCTCATAGAGCACGCGAGGGCTGTAATAACATGATGTGTATCGCCATCATCTTCTCTGTTCATGGCTGTGTAAATGCAGACCACTGACCTGGAACTAAAAGATTATAGTTTGTAAAGTCTATCTTTATGCACATGTCACTATCTCATCAAAGACTTTGTACACAACTATGAACAATATCTCTGTTTTGTAGCTGGTTTGATTCCTCACTGTTGTCTTCTCCTTAATAAATGTAGCCTTTATAGTGTACATTTATGATGTACATCATCTGGAGATACCTTTTTGTATTTTATTCTTTGTTATTTACTTCGTGTCCATAGTTATTTCCACTTCCTTCTTCACCTCCCTCCCCTCCTTTAAAAAATGCTGCTATATTCAACCTCATAATTTGATGGTGAATTTCATCCTGAAAATGCTTATATTAGTTCCCATACTGACAGGATAGATATTTATATATGGAAATCTGAAAATGTTATGTGCTAAGCAAAATGTTTTATGAGAGAAACAGTAATATTTAAAAAGGTACTTCCACACTGAAGGCCCAAACAAAACATATCGATGAAAAAGGTAACTCAGAGGATTGGGGTTTTTTTACTGGAATTAGACTTAAGGAATAACTTTCTAGTGAGAAATTGAGAGGGCTAAAAAAAAAAAACCCACAAACAAGTAAAGGATTTGTGCATATGCTTTGTTTTGGAGTCATTCCAGAGTTCTAAGTCCAAAAGATTAATTTTTTTTCAGCTTTTTTTAGTCTTTTAATGCTAATGCTTTCCTCTCCGTTGGTGGAAAATGAGGACTGTGAATGGTTTGAGTGTGTGCTTTAGCTGATTTCTGTGCTTCTCTTTATCATTCCTTAGCTCGTGGCATCCAGCACACTGCAGTCAGACAAGCTCATCGCAAGCATGAGCCGAACTTCCACGATAAATACGGAAACTTGGTCCTCCTTGGTGGAGCTGCCGTTTGCGTCAGTGTCTGGGGATATGTAAGTTGGTTTTTTCACTAGCCAGTTGTGACTCCAGCTGTAAACTTCAAAGGTATCAAGTTTCAGGAAGGCTTACTTGTTTCAAATAAGTTCAGTGGTCAGAATTTAGGAGCTTCTGCTGTAAATGGATAGGGATGTGTTAGAGGTGAAAGTTGTGTTAGTTCATGTCCTGATTTTGAGTTGTTACATGAATTTCTGTGTCAGTCTGTTGCCTGATGAGAAACACAAGTGATCTCTGTTTTGCTTGGGATATCTAACCTATACAGCTACGAGTTTTACTAGAAAAATTTCTAGATTAAAATACCAGTATGGTGATGGGGTTTTAAATTCCAGATTCTTTGTGCTAAAACTGGGTATTTTGAAAGAGAAAGCCAAAATATTTAAATACTGTTCAATATAAATATATTCCACTTGCTTTATTAGAAAATTAATGAGGTGTTGTGTTCTAATACAAGAAATCTAAACTGAAAACAATAGAAATAGCCCTCTTTTGGAAGGTTTCCTTAATTTCAGAGGTAGTAATCTTGGGTTTTATGCTCTTACAGGTGCTAACACAGCTCGGAATGGAGTGGGGCTTGTCACCTGTTGGCAGAATCACTCCAAGAGAATGGAGGGAGTAACAGCCTCTGCTTCTAATGAACTGCTCTGAACTTTCACTGAGAAAATGGTCCTGTAATGGCATTTGTTCCCTGATTACCACTTGTGCAGTGGCATTCCTGGTCTAATAAACATGCCTAGTAACCTGTCTGGCTCTTCCAGGTTTCCTCTATGGTCAGAGTCTGATGAAGTATAAGAAGTAGTGTAAAAATTTAAAGTACTTTTAGGTAATCCCAGTTGTTCCTGTAAAGTTCACCAGTGGATTAAGGACAAATCCAGAACATTGCTGAGTTGGCCACTTGGCCAGATGTGTGTGTAAATCAGCCTCACTGCATTCTCACTGCAGAGTGCACATCCCTTTACCTCTGACTTGTAATGACAAAGCTGAGATCCCTTTTTTTTCAACAGAAGGACTCTTATGTCTTGAATCACTCTGCCAGTAATTGCATCTGTGGCCTCTGAGTTGTGAAGAAACTAAATTCAATTTTGAGTCAGACTCCTTGGAAAGAGGCAGTTTTGAGAAATGTGACTTTCCTAGTGAACTCTTACGGAATCACAGACTGGTTTGGGGTGGAAGGGACCTGGAAGCCCGTCTTGTTCCAACCCTCTGCCTCTGCACTTAACTTCTGTGTAGGGTCAAAGTTATTAGAGAAATGAGGTGGAAAAACAACAGTTACTGGTTCATGCTGGTACTTGATTATCAGAGAATCTCAGGATGGTTTGGGTTGGAAGGGACGTGAGAGCCCATCCAGTCCCACCCCCTGCCATGGGCAGGGACACCTTCCACCAGCCCAGGTTGCTCCAAGCCCAGTCCAACCTGGCCGTGGGCACTCAAGATTTGTCAGGAAATAGATCTGAGGTGTATGCAGACTCTGTAAACCTCCGACTCAGTGTGAGTCCCTGCAAAGCACCAGGGGTTTGGTTTTCATACCGCAGAGGTGTGTGACAGGGCAGCGTTCGCTCCCCGCAGACTGTAACGGGGGTTCCTCGCCGAGCGCTGCTGCCCCTGCCGAGCCCTCCCTGCCCGGGCCCCGTGCGGGGCTGTGAGCGGCTGCTCCCGAGGCTCAGTGCGGGAGCCGGCCCGCAGCGCCAGCCCGCAGCGCCAGCCCGCCTTTGTTCCGCGGCGCCTGTCGCGACAGGGCCACAGCGATCGCGGCTGCGCCGCCCCGCCCCCCGCCGTCACGTGACCGGCGTGTCACGTGCGGGGGAAGGGCCCGGCGGGGCCCGGGCCGGGAGCGGCGATCGGGACCGGGAATATCCCGGGGGGGCGATATCCCGGTGAGTGCGGACCGGGAATATCCCGGGGGGGCGATATCCCGGTGAGTGCGGACCGGGAATATCCCGGGGGGGCGATATCCCGGTGAGTGCGGACGGGGGAATATCTCGGAGAGTGCGGACCAGGGAATATCCTGGGGAGTAGGGACCGGGGTGGATATCCCGCTGTCCCGGTGGGTACGGACCGGGGTGGATATCCCGCTGTCCCGGTGGGTACGGACCGGAGCAGGGGAATATCCCGCTGTCCCGGGGAGGTTTTCCCGGCGCTCCCGCGGGCGGGACGCGGTGCCGGGACACGGAGGGGAGATGGTCCCGAGGAGGGTCCGAGCCCCAGAAGCCCTTGGCTCGGTCGGGGTCTGTGCAGCCCCGCGGAGGGGCCGTGGGCTGTGTGAGGGTCTCCGGTGACCCCATCCCGGTGCCCTGCTCAGCCCTGCTCAGCCCGCTGTGCCCGGCGGGGAGCGGGCGGGCTCTGCTTCTCGGGGAGCACCCACATATCCTTCTCCCTGGGACGCAGGAATGTCTGGTGCACTCTCACTGGTGCTTTCGAAAAGGCCCCGTTCAGCTCTCGTCAGTCGGCGGAGAAAGACTCGTCGGCAATGTGAAGGCACACGGAGCCTCTGCTCCCAGGGCCCTTTTTCCGGTTCTGAGCTGCTCAACTTGTCCCTCTGAAACATCTGACTTAGCGTTTTGCCTTATGTCGCCTTATGCCACCTTGTGATGGCAGCACTCTGCACGAGTACCTCTTTTCCAGTGTTTTCATTAAAAGCATAGTATAAATGTTCTGGAAAAGAGCAGAAAGTTGCCCGTGATGCTTTGGGGTAAAATCTTGTGAAAATGAGCAAGAGCGAAACAGCTGTAACTGTTGTCTCTCTGTGTGCATGTTCTGGAAATTGCACATAATTAGTGTAAAGTTGCTTAAAATCTTTCATGCAGTCAGCAAAGATTGTATTTCTGTGCTTAAATACTTGTCGAATTGTGTTTCTGGAAGTAAATAGGCCAAGATTTGGTAATGTGGGTGGTAGCTGTGTGTAGTACAATGCACTGTGTGAGCACAAACACAATTTGATTAGAAATTAATTATTATAGTGTATTTCCTTATAGAGAAAAGTCATGAAGGTGTTTTACTTTCAAGGTGGCAAATCAGGGAAGCGAAAGTTAGTATTGCATGTCATTTACTCTTTTATTCTTATTTTCACTTGTATAATGCATTTCACATTGTTCTGCCAAGTAGTTTGAGGCCAAGCTGAAGAGTGAGAAGTCCTAGTTGGCCTTAGTATGCTCACATAACAAGAGCTTGTACATTATATTCTACTCCTAATACTTGCTGTGTTTCTTCCAAGGGAACGTTCATGTTCTCCAAGAATCTGACTTGGAGAGGTAGTGGAAGCTTACAACAAAAATAAAAGGATTTGCAAAGGATTTGTCTCAAGTGCTATAAAACTCCTGTTAGAAATGAAGCAGAATGTTTTCAATATGTACTTTTTTTCCCCACGCAGTTTGAATAGAAATAAATTCCCTGAGAGCAATTTCCATTGTCTGCTGACCAAGCAAGGCTGTTAGAGTCTTGAGCAACATGAAATACAGCCTGTTTGGAGAGTCATGTAGCTCTGACATTTATTACAGATGCACAGTTTCTCTCTCAGTGATTAAGCCTCATATATCCATGAGAGTATCCAGAATATCTCCTATCTAGTCATGCTTTCAGATGGCTCTGTTTGCCCATGAATCCTATAAGATCTCATTCTGTGTTGGGTGCCATCTTCTGGAGCACTTTTTAAGTCCAAGTGTGAGATGATGCAGCTTTTTCCTTTCTTGCTGCCCTTTGCTCTTTTCCACAGGTCCTTGCAGACCTTTAGGAACAGGCACCTTTTTTCCATTTAATGTAATTAGCAATTTAGCTTTCTGCTGCCATTAATACAGTGAGCTAAGCAGCACTTGGCCATTTGGAAATTTAATAAAATCCAAAGGCTGTAATTAAACCTGACAGATTCTGTTTCTGGTGTTTCTGTGATATTTACCTCTAAGTTAAGTTTCAGCAGCTATAAGTTACATATAAAAATATAAAATCTAACTATATACAGAGAACTTTGGTGGAAGCTGGTGCTGTACACTTAGCCAGAAGTGTGGTGTCCTTCCCCATTCTGTGTCCCTGCTGATCCCAGAACAGAACACTGTGCTGCCTGGGTGAGCTCGGATGTGAGAAACACCAAAGTGTTTTTTGTGGGGTTCAGTGGGACTCTGTGGTTTTACCAGTGTTGTAACTTCCTCTTTGTGTTGCCTCTTTATGTTTTTTTTTTTTTAATTTTTTTTGATAGTGTGGGTTTATGAATTACTGACCTCTGACTTCATCAAACTTATTTGCTTCAGATATTTTACTTACAGTGACTGCTGTTAGCACATCCCCAAAAAATATTGAGATGAATATGAGTGTCTCAGTCACCTTGTGCTTTTTCACTGTTGAAATTTCCTTTCCGTAGGAAGAAATTTCTGTTGGAAGTAGAAATTACTTCTTTCAATTGCTTCATTCTTCGTAGAAACACTAGCTGACTTTCTTCAAGAAAATGAAACTAAATACAGAGCTGTTAAATTGTCAGGGGAACTGCCATTCCTTTGTGTTGTCAAATCCTAAAATGCTTTACTAATTGATGGTTAAGGTGTTTTATAGACGAAGCAATGCCTTGCTTAAGATAGAACCTTTATTTTTCTCTAAAATATGTGCAATCCATAACTTAGCTTCTAACTTAAAAGGATATATCCATGATAACTTTAAATTTATTTATTAGCAGTCATTTGCCTTGAAGTCAGTAGTTGAGAGCTTTGGTCAACTTTTAAAATACTTCTCAGCACCTGCAAAGCTTTTCAGGTGTTGCAGAAGTTTCTTGGCTGTTTCAGCTGCACCTGCCAGAACCACAGCTGTCCTTTGTAGGATGGGGTTCTGTTTTCAGATAATGAATATATATATGTACATATATGTATGTGTGTATAAATATGTATAAAAACTGGAGTGAGGAATCACACAGATGGAGTGATGGATGGCAAGAGTGAGGACACAGCGTGTTCCAAGTTCAAGCCATTGCTGTGGTATCCACGGATTGCTGCACAGTCTCATGCAAATCTTTTGACTTCTACATCTGCTTTAATGTGAACTTGGTAAAATATTAACACATACAAGGAAAACTAGGATTAAATTCTTATTATTCATACACCTCTTGTGTGCATCTAGTTATGATGTATTGGTGCAACAGGTATTTTTCCGTCTGCTTAGTTATGAGTTTTCTTAATTTCATGCTGTCAGGAGGAGGAAATATGACAAAAATATTCCTTTCAAGTTTCAGCTGAAGTATTTTCTCCAGGAAGCACTTGTGAGGGAGGCAGAGCATTAGAAATGGAATGGAATATGACAAGGTACTGCCTCAGCTGTAAGCATGTATTTAACTGCTTGTCCTGGGCATTTTGTAAGGGGAGGGGGAAGGATGTGTGTATTTTTAGAGTCACTGTGTAAACCCTATACTTTGTTCTGAGAACAAGATTTCTTTGAAGCATCAGGAGCACTGGAAATTCAGGCAATGTAGTCTTCAGAAATTTCATTAAGGCTGTACAGAAAACTGAGATTGTTAATGAGCTGGTTCTTAATTCAGTGTTAATAATATAATGTGACTGATGTGAAGAGGCAGTAATGCTCTCAAATGGCTTATTTAGATTTGGACACGTCTCATTTTTTAGAGAACAGCCTGTTTTTAAAATTAATATAAAAATTGTTAGCAACTTTCAACAATGTCAGTAAAAGTCCTTGGTGGTGGTATTCCCCGCCAGCAGAGAGCTGTGAGTGATGCACATGTCACAGAGAGCCAGGGTGTCTCTGAACTGAAAGTC